GGATTCCCCGGTGAAGAATAGTGGGGCTAGACGGCCGCCAAATTAACACTTTATTAGCGTTTAGTGCTGAATATCATTCTGAAAGCATTTCTCTGGGCTGCTTAAAGGGGTAGATAAACGGGAAAGCGAGCTTAAGAAATCGCAACTAACAATTTGAGGTACTGGTTCATTAGCGGGGGGGGGAGGGTCGGTTCGGGAGGCTATTTCCTTTATACAGCCGTCCATGTAGCCGATGGCTTATTTTCTGTAGTTTCAGATTACTACAAAGCTATAAAAAAACCCTTAAAAATCCGCCAAATTTCGAAAATTTAGAACGGTACTTGTGCATAATCGGGGGCGGGGCTTTTTCCTTTAGAACCCAATTTTTCCGATATGACGAAGGCTTCGAAGTTTTTTAATTTTTTTCTAAACATAGAAACTCTACAAAGTTTTGTTACAACAGTTCAAAAACCTTTTGTCGGCTAAAATTTGAAATTTTTCCTTTTTTAGGGCAGTTTCTTTTTAGCAACGAATTTTGCAGTCGAAATCTCGCTCAGAAACTTCCGAAGCGTCTACTAGGGCGACCTCTAGCAGCTCCTAAGCCCTTCCGCTGCCTCCAATTTACAGATTTACAGCTGCTCAACCCTGTAATTGTCCAGTGTTGCATATTGACTGCACATCGCCATTTCACGTAAATTGCCAAAAATTGGTCCTCTTTTCGCTGGCCATTATAAATTAGCATAAGGATGAGCTAGGCTGCTCCTTTCTTTCGTTTTCAAAGACCTCGACGTCTCCGCTAGCCTGGTCTAGCTGTATAATCGGAACATTAGCGAGCCAGGAAACGGGTGAATACGTCGAACTCAACGAGCTAGAGCGCATGCTACTGGACTGTTAGCGGGGGAGGGAACCGCAAAAACTCTTCTAACTTGTTCTTGAAATTCGGAAAGACTTGTCGCGACCCCTTTAAAAAATTAAATTAATTATATCGACAGCCAAAATGCTGACATCGTTTGACCGTAGCTTGAATAAAAAAACTTACTGAAAACAGGTCTTTTGACTGTCGGAATCCGGCTATCAGGATTTTGCCTGTCGAGGTTTTGACTGTCGACAACCATGTCGTGATTTTCGCTGTCGGGATTCTGGCTGTCTGGATTTCGGCTGTGGGGATGTTGGCTGTCGGGGTTTTCCTGTCGGTGTTCTGGATGCGGGAATTTTGGTTGTCGAGATTTCGGTGGTCGGGGTATATCTGTCGGCATGTCAGGATTTTGGCTGTCGTGATTATGGCATTGCGGATTGGGGATGTCGGCGTTTTTTGTCGGGATTTTGGCTGTCGGTATTTGTCGGTAATCGGGCGATGGCAATTTTGGTTATCAGGGTTTTCCTGTCGGTATTTTGGCGTTTTTCCTTAAAACACGCTGTTTTTAGGCGTTAGGTGCGGATAACTTCTCCTCGTCTCGGCTCTCGGCAATGCTTCTCGCTATTCCATTTGGGTCCTAAAAAGGGCGGGATTGTGGGGGTGGGGGGGGAGAGGAGGCGGGGATACTTGTGATGGAAGGAGTGTTTGCGGCTGCCTCTCTTGGCCCACTTCAGATCAGATTATGATGGCGGTGGGAATCTCCGGCCGATTTCCCCCCCACCTCACCCCCCAGAATTATTACCGCTATTTTCCGATCTACTACTTCAAACACGATTTCTTTTCTATACTTTTTCATTTTTTTCCGCGTAAAGGGACGGCTTTTTGAGATTTTGGTACTATCGCATTATCGGGGGGTGTCTGCCGTTGAGCCCAATTTTTCTAATATAAATAAACGTAATAAAAACCTAACAACTTTTGTTGATTTGATTTTTTAAGTTTTTGCATAGTTTTCCATTTGAAAAATGGTTAAATTCTATTAAAAACACAATTAAAATATTTTCTAGTATGATAGTAGACAGATCTAGGGCCATAAATAAAAAACCCACCCCCTATAATAGGAAAGAACCAAAATTAACGTTTAAAACAGCGTGTTTTAGTTTTTTCTTCCTTTTCCAACCCATTTCTCGCTATTTACACTCTCAGAAAAGAACGCCTCGCTTCGAGTACCGTCTGGTTGTACCCTCTAAGAAATACCCGAAAATCCGCTATGTAATTCTGGTGCTTGCGCATTATCGGGGGGGGGGGGGGGGCAGTTTTCACTAAAACATCGTTAAAATACTTTCTAATAAGTTACTAGAATGGTCTGGATTTTGGGAAAAATTTGCTTCTATTCCCCCGATAATGCGCAAGAAAAATGCCATCTTTTTCGTTATGTATCGTTATACGGCGTCACCTTCACACCACCCGGCCACCGGCCACCCATTAATTACCGCATGATTCAGCTGTCAACCCGGGAAATGCAACGAAAAGCCGCGGCGACCCACAGAAAATCTGTTCTTTCACAATATCGCGGGGGGGGGGACCAATTTCTTTGCATAAGTCTATAGAACAGCAATTAACGTGTAAGTAATAAGTATTTTTCGGTGTTTTTAGGAAAATTCAGCCATATTGCAAACGGAAAAACTATTAAAAAACTTCTAAAATTTGAATTTTTGCGAAAATCGGTGTTTTTAGGATTTTAGCAAGAATTTGTAGAGTTTTACATTTGGAAGTTTCAAAAACAAATTATAAATAATGGCTATATTAGAAAAGTCAACTCTTGTTGGCAAAATTGGACAGGAAGAAAAGCTTTTCGGAAAAGCCGGTAATTGAAAAGTAGCAAAGAAGCTATTATAGCTTTTCTTTTGAATTCCAGGGGTCTCAATAGCCTTTTGATAAAAATTTCCTGTGATTTTCGACGCTGGAAATGAGCTAAAAGGGATAAAATACGCCGCCCACGCCCCCCACGCTAATGGAAACGATCCAAAAAGCTATAAGGACATTTCTATTGAATTTTTCATTTTTAGAATGCTGCCATTTTGAACACTGGAAATGGGCCATCAACGATACCGAAAAGCACCCCTCTCCCCCGCTAATGCAAAAGATCCAAAAAATCCGTCCCCCGCTCCAGACGACGATAATTAGAAGACATAAACATCTACATTGTGTATTCCGAGGCCATGTCTCCATTGGCAACTCTTTCAGGAGGGCCACTTTTTGCAAAAAAGGTCCTTTTTTGGGGGTGGGTGTTGGCCCTTGCCGTGTACGCGTCCAAAAAAAATGGCTTTTGGCGGGCCCTTTTCGACGCGCATATATGCCTTTTTGGGCTGCATGGTGAATTCTTTGGCCGGAGCGTCGCGTTCTCCCCTTTCCCGTTGAAGCTTGAAGCTTGAAGCTATGATAAATTGGGTGATGGCTATGTGGGCTGGGGGCCGGAACAAGTGCCCCGCGCGAATTATGCGTTCCCCTTTTTTGGAAATCCATTCTTCGTATACGGCATTCGTTTCCGGTTTTTGGGGGCTTGATAGTCGAGCAAAATTGTCGTTTTCGGAGGTTTTTAGGTTCTTCTGCATTATCGGGGGGGTTGTATCAGGAAGTTTCGCATTATCTAATTTTCTTCTTTAATGCCGAATTTTTCTAATATAAATAGAGAAATTGTTTCAAGCTTTTTTACTACCAGTTAACGTAAAAATGTTCTATTAAATTTATTAAAAAAATGCAAAAACTATCTATTTGAGGCCAAAATCTTCAATTTTAATTTTTTAGGGAGTTTTCCCCTTCCAAAACCCGCCCCGCCTCCCCCGATAATGTGAAAGTACCGCTTTTTAATTTCCAGTTTTTGTAATACATTTTTGCACGGTTCCGTGTCTTCCGATTTTTCCTAAGAGCCCAGGAATGCCCAGGTTCTTTCGCATTATCGGGGGGGGGGGGTAGTTTTCCTATAGGTCCAGAAATCCCCAGCTACGTAAAATTAACGATTGTAAAAGTGTTTTTAATAAGATGCAAGTATATTCCAGGTGGAAAGCTGTCTAAAAATCCCAGAAAATTCGAAGTCTTGGTCCAAATCGGCCATTTTTGGTTAAAAATTTTTATTTTTTTGTTGTATTTGTGAATAAAAATTTTTGAAGTTCTTAAATTAGGAATTTCCTGTGTACAAAATAGTGAAGATAATTTAAATACACTTCCTCTATTTATATATGAAAAATTGGATGCTAAAGAATTTTGTTGTCACAAAAATGAGAAACGCTACTTCTCTTCCCTTATATAGGCTGCCGCAACTTCCGGTGTATGCTAATTCTTTCCTAACAAAGAGGCTGGCCGATTTTTCAACAATAACTTAATTTTAACGTCGAAAACATATAATTTTTCAAAATTTTATTAGCGTGCAGTCATCCCCAGACCATTACGCACCTAATGACGTATCAAACATGCCCTTAACTACTCCCCTTATTAAGATACTACTGGAACAACCTGACGGAAGTTGCATGCAAAGTGTCACACACACACACACACACAGACACTATTTTTTTATATATAGTAGGATTGAGGTTTATTCCTTATTCGTCATACTTGTTGTGAATTTCACAAATTTGTTGACTTTTTATTTATTTTATTGTATTTTTTGGTGCTTTCAAATAGGCGGGGAAATTCCGGGGGGGGGACCAACTTTTTTTTGTCGGCCCTGGTGGGGATAGTAATCAAATATAAGGTGTTTTCACATTGTTTTTAGCAAAATTTAAGCCTATTTGAATCGGAAAAACTTTTTAAAAAGTTAGAAAAACGCTTAAAAAAGTCGAAAATTTGGTCATTTTTGGGCCGAAAAAAATTGATTTTTCGAAATAAAACTAAATTTTTTAATTAAGTTTTGTAAAGTTTTTATGTTTAGGAATAGCTATTAACAATTTATAAACACTTCCACTATTTCTATAAAAATATAGGCTCGGGCGGAAAAAAGTTCGGTTTCCCCCCGCCTAAATCTCCCCCCCCCCCGCCTATTTGAAAAGCACCTATTTTTATTTATTTTTATTCTTTTCTAATGTCAAAATTCCACTAATGAACCCGGTCCATTTCCAGAAAGCAATGGTGCCGCAATAGGATGCCCTGAAACGACACGCCGAACCCCCCAATGATGTGGATATTCTATGGCTTGCTAGGGGCCACCGCCGCATTTTCCCAACGGGTCAGTCAGAGTGGCTTTTCCGCTCTTTTGTCTTGCTCGTTTGCCCCAGTCACGCAATCCCGATAGATACTAGCCCTTTTTGGTTTAGCTATTCACGGGACGGATTGACAATTTTCTGGTACAAGTACAATAACGGGGGGGGGATAAAATCGCGAAGGGGCAGTTTCTGGACATTAAAATATTCTTAGATAGGTTTTTAAGGCTGAAAAAAAGCTATTAGTATATTTGTCGGGGTTTTATCGAATGGAATTTTTAAAACATCGATAATACTCAAAATGCCGACAATAGATTCCCACGTTATTCAATTTGGTTTTCGACAAACGCTTTTTTTCGCAATAAAACTTATAAATTGCAGTTTTTTCAGGCGGAAATTCAATTAGATGGTCTATTTTTCAGCCCTCTATCGAATGGCAGTTTCGAAATATCGAAAATCTAGAAAATATCGAAATCCCCCCCGTTATGCTATCTGTACCGATTGGGTTTAGGATGGAATCGGTGATGTTCCGGTTGATGTGGAGACAAGGTTGGGGAAGATCCGAGGCCGCGAGGGAACTTTTGAGATGAAAGATGGTTCTTTGCCCAAGGTCCGCACGTTTCTCAGGTAATTATTTCGTTTTCTAAGCCATAGATTCCGGCCTTTTAGTGTGCCATTCGCCGAGCCGCCCACTGGCAATTTGCGCTTCCGGCCGCCCGTGCCGAAAAAACCGTGGCGAGAAGCGGTTGAAGCCATTGAACCACCGCCAGCATGTTATCAGGTTAGACTGGCTGATTTTCGGACCTTCTGCATTATCGGGGGGAGGGGGGGGAGGGGGGCAATTTGAAAACCGTAGAAAAATTTATTGGCGATGATATAGTAGTCTTTTTCTAAAGTTGGATCTTTCGCATTATCGGGGGGTCTAGCACATCTTTTCTGGAAGTCCAGAAATCTTTACTAGTGGAATAGTAAAAATTTTAATCGCGTTTTTAGGAAAATTTAACTAGATTTAACGAGCAAAACACGCAAAAATTTAGAAGAGCGATTTTTATTCGAAATTTTGTGCGAAAATTCGCCACTTTTGGTCGTAAAATCGATATTTTTAAATGTTGCAATCAAAAAAACTGATAAAATTAGATTTGTATGAGCAAAAATTGACCTTAAGGAAAAAGTTACGCACCCACCCCCGATAATGGAAAAGCACCAGACCTTATTTTCATATTTTTTTCAGGGCCGCGACAACTACAACACCTCATTTTGGGGCTCCGAAATGTGGAATCACAACACCCCGGCGAAGGAGGATTGCCTTTATCTGAATATCTGGGCCCCGGCTGATGCCCGGTAAGGTTCAGGTTCTTGTCGTTTAACGGGGGGGGGGGATTTCGCAAATTTCAGATTTTTTAGACATTTTCAACAGTCAAATGTTACTAGAAATGTACAATATTTTATTGGCATGTAGTAAAAATTGGATCCCCCCTTAAAGGGGCTCAGAAGTCAAAATTCGTGCGTGCGGGGATTGAACCTACAGGTCAAAAAACGAAAGGGTCACTGCCAAGAAGTGCCAAAAAAGTGATTTGATTGCGAAAAAAACGTAAAATTCTGAGAAAAACCGAATTCTTTTTGGGGCGAAAACGACATTTTGAGTGGGCGGCGATTACATGTCGTAATGGCTTGTAAGGCACCCAATTTCTCGATCTCGGTGATTCTCTGGACAATTTTCATAATTTAAAAGCCTGGAATGATCAAAATTCGTTGAGGATTCCAAAAATAATATCAGAATTTTTAAATTCAAGCGTTTTCGCGTCCAAACAGAGGCAAAAGATCATACGGCGCGGTCGCGTTGCGGCCTCATCTGGCTATTTGCCAGGAATCACAGCAGGGGGCCGTGGACCACATTTCGGAGCCCCTTTAAATACCAAACCAGCCGTTTATAAAACCAACCGTTTTACATTTTTTAATTTTTTCTAGAAACCTTACCGTAATGGTGTGGTTATTTGGAGGTGGCTACTACTCGGGCAGCGCCTCTTTGATACTCTACGACGGCCGGGTAAGTATTCTCGGTATCAACCTCATTCCTTCGATTTTAGGCCCTGGCGGTGACGGGCAACGTGGTGGTCGTCAACATCAACTATCGAGTTGGCCCGTTCGGCTATCTGTTCTTTGACCACACCGATGCCCCCGGAAATATGGGAATGCTCGATCAGGTGAGAAGCCTCAAATTCCGGAGCTTTTGCATTAGCGGGGGGCAGTTTTTCTAATAGAGAGACGCAGTGTTTCTACGCTATTTTTATTCATTCCTAAACCAAAAAAATGTTCAAACTTTTATTAAAAAACAAAAATATAGTTTTTTTTACCAAAATTCTACTTTTTTGGAAATTTTTTCGATAAATTTTTGCTAAAAAGCTATAAAAATGGTTGTTAAATAACGGAAAATGTGAAAAATCAGCCACTCCCCCGATAATGCAAAAGTACCAGGTTTACTGGTATTTGTTAGCGCTGGCTTTTTGCCGTATCAATTTTTTTGATCAATGATGGCCGATTCCAAATAATATTTCAAAGTTTTTAAAGTTCTTTAGAGAGTTTTAAAACTTCACCCCCCCCCTGATAATGTAAAAGCCCCTTTGACAGAATCCGGCTCTTTAAGTCGATTTTATCTGACCAAAAAGCCCGCTTTTCACCAAAATTTAAATTGTCTAAGTTTTTAAATCACTTTTCAACCAGAAATCCCCCCGATAACGCACAAGTACCCAAATTTTCTTACAGCAACTAGCCCTGCAATGGATCCGGGACAACATCTTCTCATTTGGTGGCAACCCGGATCGGGTGACACTTTTCGGGGAGAGTGCCGGCGCCTCGAGCATCGTCGCCCATCTCATCGCACCCGGGTCACAAAGGTACGCAAAATATTGACATCAATGATTGTTTGTGATTAGGCTATTCAAACACGGCATCCTCCAATCGGGCAGTTTGGACAACAAATGGAGCATGGACACCCCGCAGCGAGCACGCAGGAAAAGCGAAAAACTCGCCGAACTCGTCGGATGCAACCGGACTACGGTAGTTTTACGCCATTTTTTTTGAATTCCGCGAAAACGGCGCTGAGAGCTTGAAAACTATTAAACGGCAACAAAAATAAGTTTCTTGTGTTTTAACGGGGGGAAGCTAATTTCCAACTTTTCGACTATTGTACACATTACAAAAATACACTATTTATTATCGACCTGCCGATAAAAATGGTGCATTTTTACAATTTTCTAGTTGTTTTTGATTGCTAGAAAGTCATCAAAATATTTTTTATTTGAAAATCTAAATTTCTGCCTTTTTTGGGTCATTAGGTCATAGATTTTTGAGCAAAAAATCCAAATTTTCGAAGGTAATAATTATTTTGCGTAATGTATAGTTTCTATGCTTAAAAACGCCTAAAAAGTTATTTAAAACGCGTGTATGCCATTTTTGAGGCTCTTCGGGGAGTTAGGCCGAGATCCCCCCGCTAAGAGTCAAGTACCAAAAATATTCAAACCATCACAATACCGCCAATTTTCAGGATACCGCCACGATCCAATGCTTGCGTGATTCTGAGCCCCAGAAGCTGGTCGACGTGATGTGGAATGTCGATTTGACGTTCCTTGAATTCCCCTTCGTCATCGTTAGTCGGGATCGGCATTTCTTCCGTCATAAGGTAGATTTCTATAACAGCCACAATCGCGATAGGATGCCGGATGCCGACAAAATGCCGACAACAAAATCCCGACAACCATAACCCCGGAAGGGCAAAATCTCGGTAGCCAAAATACCGGCAAGCAAAACTCCGACAGCCAAAGTCTGATAGGCCGAAAGGCGGACAGCTAAAATACCGACAGCCGAAATCTCGGCAACCATATAATACCGACAGCACCCGACAGCCAAATTCCCTACAGAACAAACCCCGACTGGCCAAAATCCCGACATATTCTTGACGCTAGTTTCAATGCCACTTCCTTTGGACAGCTATTTTGCATGTCGGCATTTTGGCCTGTCGACATTTTGGCGTTTGGCCGTACGCGCCGAATCGATAAAAACCAAAACTAAATCCCGACAATGCCAGAAACTTTAGAAGAATAATTAAAGGAAAAATGCCGAACTCTGGTATCAAAACTGACATTCCATTTTTAGGATGGCTTCCAATCACTCCGTAAAGCCGATTTCACCAAGGGCGTCAACCTGATGTTCGGCATCAACCACGATGAGGGTGTGTTTTCGACAGAATGATCATCCACCAAATTCCAGGCAATTTCTGGAACATCTACAACCTGCCCGACTATTTCAACGTGCCCATCCAGCCCGAATTGACCCGGGAGGAATTCTTTGACGTGAGCCACCTAGGGCTTTCACCGCAACTATCTCCCTTTAGTGTGTCGACAAGGCATTCGCCGTCCAGCCCGAAGTCATCCGGTATGCCACCAAGTTCGTCTACTCGGACCCGTACTGCAACGGGACCGGCAAGCGCAAATTCTACGCCGAGCAGGTAGGGGGTGGTATTGATCTGTTAGCGGGGGGGTCAGCCTATGCTAGTTAGAAAAATTTATTACGTTTTATTGCGGACGTTAACCATGCTTTTAGAATTTTTTGGTTCTGTTTCGTTAGCGATGGGTGAGGCGAGGCCCACCTGTTGAGCCCCCCTCCCCCGCTAACGAACTAGAACCAAAAACCTTGCAAATCTTTCGATGTCTTAATAATTTTCGTGAATTTTATACACTTAAAAACAGCCTAAATCTCTATAAAATGATTTGTATTTCTTTTTTGAAGCCTATAAATATAAAATGTCAATAAAACTCTATAAAATGATAGGTTAAAGTTCACAAATTTCTAGGTATAAAAAGATCCCAAAAACACTAAAAAATAAAGAATAATATACTACAAGATGCTATCCGCTACATAGGTATAAGATACCCCACCCGTTAACGGTAAAGGCCGGATAGGGCCCTTCATCCCCCTCTTAAGAGTAAAGTACCGATAATCCCACTTCATTGACGAATTCTCCCCGTTCTAACAGGTGAATCAAATGGTCGGCGACTACTTCTTCACCTGCGACTCCATCTGGCTTGCCGATAAAGTGGCCGCCGATCCGACGAATAATGCCCAAGTCTACATCTACTACTTTGACCAGCATAGCAGGTGATATTTTGCACCTGACCCCTCTGCAACCCTCTGGCCAATTACAGCGCGAATCCGTGGCCCGAATGGACGGGGGTGATGCATGGCTACGAGATCGAATACGTCTTCGGCGTGCCGTTGTACAATAAAACGGCCGGATACACGAGAAGAGAAGAGATATTCTCGCGAAAAGTGATCGACTACTGGACAACGTTTGCTACGACTGGGTTTGTAACTTGTAAACACGTTTTGGTTTACAGGGAGAATTTTTAGTGACACAAGTCTTTGACAGCGGCAAATTCAAAATGTAGAAAATCATAATATCGAAATTGTATAGTGTCGAAATTTCATAATATCGAAATTTACAAAAGTCAATCCCCCGGAAAAATTCCAAATCCTTTCCAAAAAATGTCGACATCCACAATTTCGATATTCTGAAATCTAGACATTCCGAAATTTCGGCATTACGAATTTCTACCTTATGAAATGTCGACATTATGTAAATCCTACATAATGATTTTCGACATGCAAGACATCATGAAATTTCGAAATTCTGAAATTTCGGCATCATGAAACTTCTATATTATGATTTTCGACGTTCTCGGGTGTAGAATTTTGCACTTATTCTGAATCTGTTTTCAAAATCAGCGAAACAACTATATAACAAATTTATAAAGATTTTTAGCGCTAAACAAGCAAAAAAAATCGTCGAAATTTGGTTTTTTTTGGCATTTAAAAGCGGCATAACTTTTTTCATACGCTCGTTTTGCCGACTTTGAAAGCAGATTCGGAATCAGCGCAAAATTCTGCACATAATAACCCTGAAAAATAGATTGTGTCACTAAAGAACAACACCTTCATAGCCGGAAAACCTCATTGATTTCAGCGTCCCATCCGTGCACGGCAGCAAAAATCATGCCATCTGGCCGAAATACGATCAGACAAGCAAGAGTTGGATGAACCTGAAGGTATAAAATATCGAGTAACAAAAAAATTCGCTACTTTTGCATTATCGGGGGATGCAAAAATTACTAAACTAGAGAAATAGCCCCCAAAAGTCACTAACCAAAACGTTTCCAAGTTTTTAATTTTACAATTAAAGACAAAGTAAGTAAATTTTCTCATAGATAGTGGAGGCGTATCTACACTGCTTTTACTATCATTTTAAACTTACAAATTCTTATTGAAAATACAAAAATATCCATTTTTTTAACCCAAAAATTGGAAGTTTTCTAAATTTTCAAAAGTTTTTAGGTAGTTTTCTACCAAATATAGCTGAATTTAACTTAAACACTGAAAATATCGGTCCTAGACATACTTTAGACTTTTAGCACCCCCGATAATGCGCAAGAACCAAAAAAAAACAACGAAATTTAGGCCGGTTCTAACCTATTTGCAATGCACGCCAAGAAGAGCGTAGAATGTGATTTGTGGCGCCATTCCAAGGATCTCGAATTTAATAATTACGGTAAGGAATTTGAGGCCAAACATTTCTTATTTTTTATTTCCTTTAGTCCATGTCGTCTCTTCGACACGAGAATACACCGTCTCTACCATTACCATTCTCATCATTGGAGCCCTTCTCTTCTAAAAAAACCACCTCCAGGGCCCGGTAGCCAACTATTTAATTCTGATAGCCGTTCGTCAATCATATTGTCAGTTTCCTTGCCAATTTCTGTCTTTCCCACCCTTTTCATGTTATCCAGGATCCTAGTAAATAACGATTAGCTGCATTTGGGGATTCCCCCGTATTTTGATAATTAGTACACTGCTAGATTGCATCGCCAAGCCTCTCATTGCCAGTTCTCAACATACAACGAAACCGTCTATGTACGGCATTCCGCCCATCATATCCCCCCAAGAACACCCCCGTAATAAGAATAAGAATACTTTAATTTCCACCCCGTCAGCCTCAGCAACAAACGTTTTCTCACTTATATCGTTTATATACTTAATACTTAATAAATTCTTCGACGATTTTGTTCTACAAGGGAAACGCATTAAAATGACCCTCGAAATGTACACATCACAAACAGAGGTGCTTTCGCCTTATCAGCGTGAACCAATTTTTTTTTGTAAGTCCCGAAATGCCTAGTAGCGTAATAGTAATTTGTTTGCTAACATTCAACTATTGTTCACCCGAAAAGCTACTTAAAAAACTCTACATTTTTGAAAAACCCTATCCAAAAAATCGCAAAATCTGTGCTCTTTGAATCGCAAAATGAAAATTATACCGTTTTGACAGTAACAAAAACACGAAATTCCATACAAATCCAATTTTTCAAAATTATTCCAAAACGCTAATTCCGTTCGGCAACAGTTTACAATAATATGGGCGATCGCAGCCGTTCGGAGCCTTCCACATTTTTTTCAATTTTTTATTTAATTCTTTATTTTTTAATTGCTAATTTTTAGCATGGCTAAAGTCAAGACGAGAAGACACCTTCGGGAAAAGTCGAATTCATCTGACGATGAACAAAGCCCGCGCCGTCGCCGCAAGGAAACAAGGGTTAGCGCTATTTTTTTGGTTTATAAATCCGTCAATTTAGCCAAAGACTGGAAAGCGAAGCAACAAAACAGTCGTACTGACGCCGGAGTTGGGTATTTCAATGATCCTGAACCAATCAGCTGTTCAGATAAGCTTTTGGAACCTCGTCCTCAGCCCGTGTCTGTCTCGCAGCAGACGCAACAGGAGAAAATGGAGCGGATGGTGGGTTTTTCAGCTTTTCTAGGCAATTAGCCCTTACCGAATGGCTCGTACGCTTGTTGTGATGTACTATTTAGAAGTTTTTAAGTGATAAAACGGTTATTTTGGTCTAGAAAATAGACTTTTGCCGTAAAAGTACTACTGATATGTACTACTACATAGCCGAATTTTCTGAATATCTTTCTATATGTATAATAGCTATTTTAACCTTTCCACGATTCTCGTATATTTATTTGTTCTTTTAGATTAAGTTGACGATTGAACAAGCAGAGGGATTATTGGATCAAGAATCTCAATCGCAGCGTCCGCCCACTCAGCAAAACTCCCTGCAATCAAACGATTCTCAAGGTGTTTAGGGCTTTACACTAAAAACCCTATTTTTTAGCGTTCGAATGGGATCCAGCGACGCTGCAAGGAGACCTGCGCCAAAGTGGGTTTGCTCTCCACCCTTACCCCGCTCTCTCGCCGGCCCACGTGCGGCACATAGCCCATCCCCGCACAGCTCCCCCCGGCGGTCCCGTGGTGTAGCGGTTAGCACTCAGGACTCTGAATCCTGCGACGGGAGTTCAAATCTCCCCGGGACCTGAACCCTTTTGCTTTTGCTTAAAAATTGGGTGGCATGTTTGGACGCTTCAATAGTTTTGTTTGCTAGTGCTCATTTTGGAAAGATAGGCCCTGAAGTTTCTAAAAGGCTCGAATTTCGCTGAGTTTGAGTGTCTATAACATTTTTGTTTTTGCACAAACATAGTGGAGGGTGGAGTTTCCTGAGTTTTACTTGCTAGTGTAACTTTTAGAGCAGAAAAGAAAAGAGCCCTCGAAAACCCAGAAATTGCGCTGACTTTCTCTGAAACACTCTCTGATTTCGGATACAAAAAAGCCCAGGATTGGCGCAATAGCGCTAGATTACTCATAGCAGCTTATTGGAAGGTGATCTTTGATGCCCATAAATCAGCAATCCTATGATTTTTTGAAAATTGGTGTTTTGCTCTTTTATAAGAATAATTTTTTTCAGAGTTCACCAAACTCTTCCTCGATACTCAACGGAAGCCCGGCAATTGAATAACCGTGAACCACAACGAGTCGATCGCACCTTACCTATTTTTATTTTGTCAAATCTGTAGCTTGTTTACTGTGAAATAACTGTTAATAAACGTTCTAACATCACGGGTCCAGTCGGCAACTGACTGCGTATGAAATGCGCGCAGATATCTCTCCTCCTTTCCCCACACACACTGGCGGCAATTCGAGAGCCCCCGTTGCCTTCGCTAACGTTTTTTGTTAGAGGCATCCTGCTTGCTCTACGATGGCCGACGACCCCAATGCCACCCAAATCTTCATCGCCGAGGAACGCAAGCTGTTTGAGTGGGTTTTTACTGGATTTCCAGAAGTCCGGAGATTTAGGCGGATGTTTCCAACTCCGCGGGTCCAAAATCGTCACAATATCTCGAGCTCATCGATTCTTTCCACACCGCAGGCTCGCTTCAATACGTCTCAAGGCCAGATTGGTGTGCACATTTTTAAAACTATAAATTAATTTTTAGTGGACGCAGCGTCGACCCATGCAAAGCTTTTTGAAGCCACCGAGGAAAACAAGTGGCTCCGAAAACAGCTGAAACAGGAAAAGGAAAATGTGGCCAGCATCGAAAATGAATTGAAGGCGAGTCCTTATTTCATGGGAAACATGGTTTATTTAGGCAAAATCCGAGCGTTGCGAAGAACTCACTCAAGAAGTCGTTTCTCTGAAGAAAGAGGCAGGTCGCTCTCGCCGCAGCATAGAGACCCTGATGGATGACACAAAAACGCGCTCAGTATGTGCTGAATTTGCCATAGAAAAGTCTTTACAGGCCGACACTGGTGCGCAACTGTTGGCAGTGACGGCGGCAGCGAACAAGTTGTACAACTACCATATTCGTGTAAGTGGTTTGGTTTACAGACAATATCAACTAAAATATTTAGCAAAGAGCAGAGCTAGAGGTCATGCAGAAGATATTGGCTCGCCACAGGCTATGGACACCTATGTTGCGCTCAGAGGTAGTTTTCGTGGGATTGAAAGAATTTTCAGTCTAGATACGCGCGTCGTATAACGGCATGAAGATTACTGAGCTGACAGATGGTGGGATATTTCTGTTGACTTTTGTAAAAGATCCTAGAAATGATGGCCACCCACGCACAAGGATCTTCTTTGGACTATCAAGGCATCGATGAGGTGGAATTCGTGGAAGCGCCCGAGGAATCTCCGGCGGTATCGCTTCGTTTGATTTTCAAAATGTTATTTTCTAGAGTCCGGAAGTTGATGAGGATACTGCTGATTTAACAACTGGTTCCCGGTTTCGACAGAAAGGTAAACAAGCAACATTATTGCCATATCGTGTTTTTAGTGGTCAACGATACTATGCAACTCGCAAGAAAACGCTCGGGAAGGTGAGAACTTCTCAAATTTTTTTACTTGCTTTCAGTGGCCCACACCGGATGCTGAGCCCCATTCTCTCGACCGGTACCCAGATGACGTCTGTGACCGAAGAAGAGCCAGCCGAAGAAGCGCCTTCCATCTGCGACCAAACGATGAATTCCGTTGATTACGAGAACTACGAGAAGATCCAGAAACTTGAAGCCGAGAACTCGCAGATGCGACAGCAGTTGTTCATCGCCAAGTATTTCCGCAAAATTTAACCCTACGTTAATTTATTTAGGAGCCACGCGAAAAATGCGCTGCTTTACCGGGAACAGAAAATGGACATCGAATCGAAATACAATTTCGTTAATAAAAAGTTGGAGGAGACGATGGTAGGCGTTTCTGGCTGATGTTGATAAAAGCGTTTAGCGTGATCTTACTGCCCTCCGCAACGCGACGGCCCGAAATATGTTCGGATCGGAAGATGGAGTAAAGCACGTCGACCGTATGACCTCGATGCAGCAGCAGTATGTCGTTCTTATATGCGCAAATTGTTTTTTAGGATTGACGACTTGCTGGAAACAACCAAGAAATTGAAGGCCCAGCTTGAAGAAAGGTGTGGTGGTCCCTTTATGACCAACAATTATTATTCCAGTGAAAACAGCGCTGAAGAAGCCCATGGTCTGCTTGAAGATCAGCGCATGACCTGTGACTCGCTGAATGCTCAAATCGAAGAGCTGGAAGATCAGAAGAGAACCTTAGGTTTGGAAGGAGCCGTGAAATAATATGAATTTACAGAGGAACATGTAGCCGAGCTCCAACTTCGCTACAGGCAGTCGAGCAAGGAGGTCGATGTTTTGAAAAGCGACGTCTACCAGAAGAGCCGTCAGATTGAGGTACAGCGCTACGGACTATGGTTTATTTGTATTTAGGAGCTCGAAAAGGCCGCACGATCTAATCAAGCCGATCCAACGGATGCAGGTGATACGACGCAGGTAATGAATGGCTTTTTTTATCACCGAATTTTCACCGCTTTGTAAAATTGCTGACAGTTTCTTTTGTTGGTTTTGGTTTTTGGGAAATCCTATATGAAAAGGCATTCAGATGATACTAAAACCTTATTTATCAGATTTTCCACGTCCGCGCAAATCCGCTGGAGATGGCGCGCGAGGAGCTGCGCCAGAAAGATGATGAGGAAGAGCGGGAACGGAAGCGGAAACTGGTAGGAAAAGCTCTCCTTTGTTGACGCCTTTTTCAGTCCGAGACGTCTTCGAGCGGTGACGTTGAATTTGGGTCCAAGAGAGCCAAAACCGAGATTGCGGGTAAGTTGTGTTTTGTTTATCATTATCTCTTTTTCCAGCCTTGGAAGAACAGCTTCGAAAAGCCGAACAATCGAAGAATAAGGCCGTCGACATCCAGGTGGTCGCGATGCCCCTGCTTTTCTATTTGTAATTCAGATGTCGATGGCTCGACGTTACCGCGAAGTGTCGACAGCGTTGACTGGGTATCAGATTAAGGTATTCGATTTATTAGCTCTTTTAAAATATGTTTTTTAGATGAGAGATGATGCTTGCCATGTTGTTAGTTGTTTGGGGCAAGAGCCGGAAGACGCATTCACTTTCAAGGTGAAGATAGGGTTTTGGATACAGTAATATCGATTTTGCTTTTAGTTTGAGGACGGACAGTTGATGCTTTTGTCTCGCGAGGACGGATCTTCGGAAATCAGCTCTCAGAAGTGGAGGGACGAAATGGATCGGTAAGCATTTACAATTTACAAAAGGTCGATTTGGATTTCCAAGATTTCTAGCTCTCGCAAGTTAATTATATTTTTTGCATTATTTTAAAAAGGTCTGAATTCATAAAGTGGAAATTGCATGATTTCGGCATTTTTGAAAAATTTGCGGGACTTTCAGGCAGATCAGGATAAAATCCTATAGTGAAATTTCGAAATAATTATAGAAAATCCATTTTTTTAGCTACATCGGCGAACTTCACAGCGTGCCCGCCTTCCTCTCACGCGTGACGATCACCCTAGCCGAAAACAACCCCGATGACCAGACCCTCTCCCAGCCCTCATTCTCCATCATCAGGGATTGAGCTGCACCACCATCCTCTCCCACCCATATCTTGTTCGCGTGTTACTTATTCGGCGACATAAATTATTCATTTCGAATTGGAACTATTCGTTAACTTTTGTAGGGCGTCAATGCGGCAGAGTGCACCTAGAAATGGTTGGCCATTGTTTTGTATTTTTTTCTCCACCTCAACATCTCCTTCTATCCGAATCCGCGTCGGCAATTTAGCAGTCCGATGTGTGAAGGGGGCAAAGTGCTCGTTGTTGAAATAGATCTCGAACGTCGAATTGACATTCAGGACGGTCAGCGAGAATCTGGAGAATTTTTGTGGCGAATTTCCGGCATATTTTGACTCACATCCTCCAATTATCGATGGGCATTGTGCCCTTCTTTTCCGGCTCTCCCCATGTTCCGTTTACTTTAGCGTTTCGCTCGATGACTCGCGCATCAAAGGAGATGGTAAGCTGAAGAGGTTCCTTTGCATTATTGGGGAATGGATAGTTTTATATAAGTTTAAAGATTATTTTCAATACGTAGATTAAAAAACGTTTTCTGAATAGTTTTCCGTTGGAATATAGTATTATTTACTAAACACTATTAAAACACTTTCTAATACTTCTATCAATGGCAAATAAAAAATTTACCCCCTTCCCCCCCGATAATGCTAAAGCTCTGTTTTTTTGGGCCTCCTGACCTGTAGCGGATAGTTCAAATCGTCGACTATAATGCTGATGATGATTTGGTGACCTGAAAATGGTAAAACCTTTTTAGCTTATAGACATACTTGTCGGAAATTGTGATCCCTTGACGATGTGGGCACGGGAGTGGCTCGCTGATCCCAAGTAGATGATCGAGCCGCCAGTGGTCCTGTACGAGTAGCTGGACGGCATCGGCTGACTGCCGGACGACATGTAGAAGTTGGTGCGACCTAAATGACACTGGAAATGGTATCCAAAACCTTGAAACCTCCGCCGGCCCCGCTGTAGTGCCGGCTGGCCACCTTGACCGTGCTTTTTGGAGCGCTAAATTTGATGGTAGTCGCAATAGCTAGAAGGTGAAGCTTACCCGCTGCCCGAAAATCTTGACGCCGATGCCCCTCGAGAGCCCACTGATGCTTTTCTCTTACGACGTCGTCCTAAAAGAAAATAGATGTTTAATTTTGTATTTTACCTCCAGAATCGCTCGTCTCTAGCAGCCCAGTGATGTTGGCTGAGGATTCCACTAAAAAGTAAAAAGCTATATTCTGACAAAAATAGTGGTACAGGGTAGTTAGCGGGGCAATTTGTTCCCAGTAGTCTCGTACGGTTCTATAATGAAAAATATACCATTTTTATAGCAATTGACAAGGTTTTTAGATATGAAACACCCATAAAAAATCATAAATTTCTGCAACTTTGTGAAAAATGTTAAATAGAATACTGAATTTGCATGAAAAAAATTCCAGTTTCCGCTTAGCCATCACAATTCCGTTATTCTACCGATTCCCTGCCCAGAACTGGTGAGTATCTGCTCCTTTTCGATTTTCGGAGCATTCCAAAATCCGATTGACGCTTTCAGCCGTGAGCTTCTTATGGCTGGGACCCCAAAACCGCCAGAGCCGGCCCTTGCCCTCGGCGACAAGCTCCACGGCGGCCGCTTCATCGTTCGCAAGAAGCTGGGCGAGGGCTCGTGTGGATCTGTTTGGGCCGTCGACACCATCCCCGGGGCGGTGAGCAGCTACAGATCCCCCCTGAGAAACACCCCTGCTCAGGTCAAATACGCGATGAAGGTCGAGCCCTTCCAGAAGACCAAGGAGGAGGAGATTCTGCGCATGGAGGTGGAGATTTCGCGAAAATCTGAGCATATTGTGTTTTTCTCTAGTTGTACGTGCTGAAGAAGCTGCAGACGAGCAAACACGTGCCCCGCTTCGTGGCCAGCGGGAGTCAGGCAAATTTCAGGTGGGGGATTATTCGGTTCTTTTGTAATATCGGGGGTCTATTTTTTTCAAATATAAATATAGGAACTTATTTCTGCACTGTTTCTACTATTCCTAATCTTAAAATACATCCATTTTTATTTACAAAAACGAAAAATATAGATTTGCCAACCAAAACTGCCCGAATATCGACAGAATTCGAAATTTTATAGGTTTTTTGGATGGTTTTTCCTCTTTAACTATAACAAATTTCGGTCCTCCCCCCGATATTGCGAAAGTACCGAGTTGACTTGCAGCTTCATGGTGATGACGCTGCTGGGGAAGGATCTGGTGGATTGCCGGCGGAAGTGTCGTGGCAGAAAAGTGTCCGCCCAGACGACGCTCCGGCTTTCCCTGCAGGCTGTCCAGGTATCGTTGTTATACGACGCAAAAATACTATGGCGCTTTCGTATTATCGGGGGACCAACTTTTTTCTTTATGTTCCATTTTTATTAAAATGAATCGAGGAAGCATTTTTACCGTATAATTTAGAAACGTAAATTCGGCTAAAAACAAAAAAAATATTTTTGGACGAAGAATGGCCGATTTCGAACCCAATTCAAAACTTTCGAATATTTTCTTCCTTAAGTGTATTTAAATCCAAACGCTGTTTTAGGCATTTCTAAGCCGATAAAAACTTCTCCCCCGGCTACTGCAAAAGAACCTAAGTCTCCCTTCAGTCGCTCGAGGATATGCACCGGCTTGGCTTCATCCACCGCGACGTCAAACCGTGCAACTTTGCGCTTGGCCTGAAGAACAACGTAACAAACAATCGCTAAATTCGAGACGCCAAAAATCTACTTCTAGAAAATGCTGTACATCATCGACTTCGGGCTGTGCCGCCAGTTCATGCTCCCCGACAAGAACGGGAAGATGAAGCTGCGCGAGGCGAGGGCCAAGGTCTCATTCCGGGGCACCGTTCGCTACTGCTCGACGAACGTGCACGCCGGAAAGGAGCAGGGCCGTCACGATGATCTCTACGGACTCCTCTATTCGATGATTGAGACGGCGGTCGGTAGATGATCATAGTGTCATTGGGCAAATTTTGACACTGGGCAGGGGAAACTAATTTTTGTTTTTGCGCTTAGTAATATTCTCTGTTGATAATCAATAGTGTATTTTTCTAGTGTTTTTAGTAGTTTTTATCACTAAAAGAATCGTAAAAGTTTTGAAATTCGAGAATTTTTACCTTTTTGATTTTTAATACATTTTCGAAAAAAAGTAGAAAATGCTCGAAATATTTATAAGTTGTTTATGAGCTTTTCATACCTACAAAAAAATTAGTTCCCCCCTGCTAACAGCCCAGTATCCAACTTTTAGACTGGTACCCTGCCGTGGAAGGGAATGCCCAGGGTCGACTCGGCCAAGTGCAAGGAGAAAACCACCGACGCTGTACTGCTCAAGGTTGGCCATCAAGGCGATGGAATAAAAATTCCTAGGGCTGCCCTCCGGCGTTCACCGAATTCGCCGGCCTCCTCAAGAAGCTCACCTACCCCGACGCGCCGCCCTACGACAAAATCCGCGCCGCCATCGCCAAGAACATCAAGGAGCTTAACGTCAAAATGTGAGAGATGTTGCCGAACATCTTGAGCAATTGTCTCTACGATTTAGAATTTACTTCTTTTGTCAAAATGTGTGAAAAGTATCAAAAGTAGACCTTTTTTGAACATTCTAAAACGTTGCAGGAATCTTAAAAAAATGAAAAACTACCAAAATCATCATAAAAACGCACCACAAAACGCAAAAAGAGGTCATGGCTAATAAACCCCTCCCTCCCCCGCTAACAGACCAGTACCAAAAATTTGTTGGCGTATTTAGGACCGACCCGTACGACTGGGAGCGCTTGACGAAAACCGAGCGACGCGCCAACAAGGAAAAGGAAATGTCGACAAAGGATGGACCCGAAAAGGACAAGGTATGCCATACCGGTGGTTACGGTAACGCTGGGCATCTTTTAGGATGCGGACAACGACACGACAAAGGATCTGGCCGAGTCGGTGCTGTCACAGACCAGCGAGAGCATCAACAACGACGAGGAGGTGGTCGAGGACACGCTCGATCAGGCACCCGGTAGGGAAAAATTTGGTTCTTACGCGTTATCGGGGGGGGGGAGGGGTTGATCACGGGAAAACCAATTTCTTTTCGTGTTTTTAAAAATTGTTTTCTACTGTTCCTAAAGGCAAAAACTTACGAATTTCGTTTTTAAAAATTCAAAAATCGATTTTTCCACCAAAATCACCGGTTTTCGACCAAGCTTACGAGATTTGAACTTTTAATATTAAATAATATGTACCCCCATAATACCCCCATAATATGAAATTTCAGCATTATGAAATGTCGATATTAGAAGGTTTCGACGTTATAAAATTATGTCGATGCGGTCGCACTAATTGGCTGATTGACCCTGTTACAGAGCGCATGAAGACCGAGGATGGCGACAACCCGAAAAGCCACCAGTGATCTCGGCTGGGCCCCCCTCCTCTCCATTAACCTCGACTTAACTCTGCAAACATTCAGAATCGATTCTTTACAAACGCGTTGAACATTTTCTCTTTCACTCACAATTCTCGGGCCCGCTATATGGGTCGTTTTTCGTGTCTCATCCCCGGAATAAACAATGTTATGTACCGTATGCAGAGAAACAGAAAGCGAGAGAGATGGAGAGAGATGGATAAAGAGAGAGAGAGAGAGAGAGAGAGAGAGAGAGAACCAAAAAATACCTCTGGGCAATGGCTGCGCGACAATGTCAAGCCGAGTGGCGTTGGCAACGAAAAAGCTTTCCGCCATTGGATTTGAAAAATTGCCGCCTAGAAAAATGATAATTCCGGTGCTTAATTAAATCTAACCATCAATCGTGATCAAACGAATCGCTTCAAAGTCACCGTCGACGTGGATCGACAGAGTTTCGCCCTGAAAAAAATCCAGCCTTATCCTTTCCTGGATCTGGTTCTTTAGCGGGGGCGCTATGTTCCTTTATTCAGGCTAACCTTAGTTGTAATAAAATATCTACGAGTTTTATAGCGTCTTATGCGGTTTCCGATTACGATAAAGTCATAACAAAATTTTTAAAAATGAAAAATATGCCATTTTTGACCATTCCACAAATGTTTGACCAAAAATTGCGAAAATATTTCAGAATTGATAGACTTTTGATATAAAGAAAGCTAGAATGCTATCACAATACTTTCTATTTCATCATTCAGAATCGGGTAAAAGTGGAAATTTTTAGCCTCTCCCCCGGCTAGCGAACCAGAAACCTTTCCCGCTTGAATTAATGTACACCACTAGGACCCCCGCTTTTTCTTTCAGCCACAGAATTCCCCTATTTCCCCAAATTTAATTCCCAATCATTCCCCGTCGCCATAAATTTACCTCGTTAACCGCGTAGTCGCCCCGATCGAAAAGGCCAATCTCGCCGCCCTGGGAAAACACCTGCAAGCCACCGTTGAAACAACTTCACCACCCAAAAAACCTGCGCAAATGACCCGAGCACCCGAACACGCAAATCGTAGTCGCCGGACCGCTAAAAAAAACAGGGTGGGCGCAGGTGAACAGTTTTACCTCATAAGGGTTCGCCACGCGCTCCACCAATGTTCGATTCTCGAGCTCAACCGTAACCTCGCTGTACCCGTCGGTTAGGCCCGTATCTGGAAATAGGAGTTATCTACCAGACAAGCTAGCAAACCCTTGACAAAGAATGAGCAGAGCTTGAAGAGGAGAGTCGAGCCTTCGGTGCTGTTTCTCATCAGCGACACGCAGATGCTGAAAATTTGAAGATTTCGGGTGCTGTTTCGTTATCGAGGGAGGGGGGCGTTTCTACGTTCTTCTAGTCGCCCTATGACGAAGCGGAAGCCATTTTGATAAGAATTTGGCTTTTTTAGATCCAAAGGTTTGTAGAAAAACCAATTCCTTTGACTCCCCCCCCGCTAACGAATCAGAACCGAGACACCTACCTTTTGGCATTTTCACTAACATTCCCGGCAACATGGATAGTCTGTCCAACTCTCGGCGGAATCCGCAGCTGGTATTCGTAAGGGACGGGCTGAATTCCAGGTCTATAATTCCATTAAACCGCTAAAAACCTACGTAAATTGTCTCCCCAACGAATGGCAGTTGGGAGCCGTTGCTGGGATTTCGCTGTGAGCAGATCCAGAAGAAGACTAGATTTGGATAAAATTGACTTTTTTGAATCTTACCAGCGACCCCACCGGCTGCAATCAGTAGCACACGAATGATCTGGCTAAAATAGGACGTGATTAGTACCTCTTGAGTTCCACTTACAATGCCGTATCTTTCCAGCGACGGCTCTTCTTGCATTTCACGAGCTTTTCCGGCGTCTTTTCCGGTAAGCCTTTTGATCTTATCTGAATACATTGCGATTTTAGGGTACTAGCTCCTTAGCAGGGCTAGTCGGGGAGCAAACCATTTTTAGCTCTGCTAACGGGGCCCTAAACATTATTCCTAGCATTTTACGCTGTTTTGAGATATAAAAGTGACCACTAAAACAATATAAAAATGGTTTTTGTTTCAATGCTGTGAGAAAAACCTGATTCAAATCAACCGGCGCCTTCTTGAAGTGATCAAAATTCTTCTGCGCGATCCCGTCATGTTCGCCCGCCGGTGATTGTGGTGGGGGGAGATTCCGGGGAAATATCCGGCTCCGCCCCGACCTTGTACTTCTTCCCGTCGTCCGTCATCTAGCGCCCGTCCGGTGTCCCATTTTTACCCTAGACGGATGGCGGAGTCACTGGCGTTAGGAAATACTCGAGCCCGAATCGGCAAAACGGTATACGGTAGCGTTTCCACGTTTTTGCAAGCAACCTTTTGGACTGTATAATAAAGCTTGACTATTCTTCAGCAAGTTACAGTTTTTCAAAATAAAATTGCATCTTATTGAAGAAAAAAGGGTTAGTTCTGGGCCTGCAGCACAGAAAGACACGCGTCCACGCTGGTTTTGGAATTTTTCTACATACCTTACTCAATTCACTATAGACAAAGCTTTAAACTCTAACTCAAAGTTAAGAATGTTAAGAAAAATCCGGATACAAACACAAAAACTAGCATAAACTAAACTAAACAAAACCTTATTTAATTTCTGGATAAAGACATTGAAGCGCGATACATTCTGCTGGTTTCGATCCTGAGCTCGATCCCTTGGCAGCGAACATCTAGTTGCTGTAGCCAGAATATAAACTCCCCGTAGCAACTCGAAAAGCTACGCCGCTTAGAAAAGCCGACAAAAATTATCAAAGGCAAAAGCGGAAGGCTTGAAATGAATTCTTTGCCCAACAGCGCGAGGAGCAAGAATAGTTGTTATTGATTTTACGAAGCTTTGTCTACAGTCAAATTGAGTAAAGCATGTAGCAAAAAGTTGAAAACCAACGTCGACGCGTGCCTGTCTGTGCTGCCGGCGTCCAAATCAGTTTTTTTCAATAAAATTGTTTTTCTTCTTTTTTTTACCCTTTCTTTATTCACGTTTATTGTGAAAGCTGTAAAATACTGAAGATGAGGAGAAGACGAATAAAATTTTATGATACGGTCCAAAAGGTTGCTTGCTAAAACGTGGATCCGCTACCGTATACCGTTTTGCCGATTCGGGCCCGAGTATTTCCTAACGCCAGTGGCGGAGTCATGCAACCGGAAGCGGAAAGCGGAAAAGGGTAAAGCCGCAGCCTTGGCCAAGAAGAAGCATAGACCGCATCAAAGCTTATGGAAACCCCGACAAGAAACGGCAGACAACGTGTGGACACTCAAAGTTATTACCCCGGCTAATAGGCGGCGGAAAGTGATCACCGCCCTTCGGTAGGGCAGGCGATTCCCAGGGTTGGGTTGTCATGGGAGCCGGAGCAAATAGTGTGCGTGCTATCGAACTTGTCCACTTTATTAATAGAGATCAACGTGACGAATACCCGTAGTTGAATCACAGAAAGAGCTTGGGAGTTTTGTCAGGCGACATCGGAAGGTTTCGCGTAGCCGTAGGGGACCTGAAAATTAAAATATTTCCTGCTTGAAATTCGCTGTCTAGTAACGTAATCGTACATATAGTATTTTAATCGGGTTTTTAGTAAGTGTTGTGATCCTCGAAAAGAGTAGTCGAACGATGTAGAATGCGCTTGGACGTACAGTTATCGAACAACTGTTTATCTACATAAATGGTGGCAGGAGGATCGGCAACAGAGCTAGTCTGTGCCGATAAGTGGACCCGCAACGAGATAATACAATCTAGTCATAGGCGGGGAGTGGCGCACGCGACGCGACCGCAGGGGGGCGCGCGCCGGTGGCTTACCCACTGGATAGGAGGGACAGCCGGGAAAGAGGATCTAATGTGGTCCAGCAAAGCTGACACCACAACACCTCCCCTTGTACAAAACAAAGTACGAATTCCTAGGAGAAATTGGGACAGGTGGAACATGAGATAGGCGGAGTCTAATGTGGTCCAGCGAGCTGGCCCCACAACACCTCCCCTTACACAAAAAACAAGTGTAGATTGGAGGGACCGGGATAGGAATCGAGTGAAAAGCACAATAAAGTTCAAGAAAAAATTATCTGCTTATTCCTTCACTCCTTGATGACGCGCAGCGAGGCGATCACCGACAACGTCCATCCTTCACCTTCATCGCCTTCACATCACGTCCCTCCTTCTTGTCGACCTTCTTTTCCTTCTTTCCTTCTTCGGCTTCACTTGTAGACGCGGCCTTGGGCTTGACACGCGCACCTCCTTCGGTCCTTTCGTGGATGAGGACTAACCAACTTCCTCATCTTCTGCTACCTTCGCGGCTTGTGGCGGTCCTTGGGGCAAAACGGCGGCCGGTCGCCGGGCACTTCAGGCACTTGCACCCTCCTCCTTCTTCGACAACGGCAGCGTGCCCTCCACCCGGAAATGTGGGGGCAAAAAGGGGAAAAAACACCTCCCTTTCCATTGATCCTGCACGAGCGGCACCGGCACATCATCCATCGATGGGCCCGCCGGCATCAGCACGCTCTGCTCCTTGATCTTCTCGCCATGCCTTCTTTCTTGTCGCTTGCCAACCATGTAGACGTCCCTGACCTCGACCTTGTCGCTCTCCCTTGACCTTGTCGCTTTCTTGGTCCTTGTCTCGTCGGCTTGACTTGACTTCTCGCGCTTCTCCACCTTCTTTCTTCATCCTTGATCACGTTTTCGGGCTCGAGTGGCTTCTTGGCTGGGGCATCCCTTGATCTTGCGTGAGTTCTTGATCCTGCTCGCCAGTTGTTGTGATCCTCGAAAAGAGTAGTCGAACGATGTAGAATGCGCTTGGACGTACAGTTATCGAACAACTGTTTATCTACATAAATGGTGGCAGGAGGATCGGCAACAGAGCTAGTCTGTGCCGATAAGTGGACCCGCAACGAGATAATACAATCTAGTCATAGGCGGGGAGTGGCGCACGCGACGCGACCGCAGGGGGGCGCGCGCCGGTGGCTTACCCACTGGATAGGAGGGACAGCCGGGAAAGAGGATCTAATGTGTTCCAGCAAAGCTGACACCACAACAGTAAGATACCTGTAGAAAGCGAAAAAATTATCAAAAAAAGTTAAAAATTCGAAGTTTTCGTCGCAAATTTTTTTGTATCATTAAGTTTTTGCGTTCATGAATAGTAACAGCTAACAGAAGCCTAACAGCCTGTTCCTCGATCTATATTAGAAAAAGTTTAGGTACTTATCAAGTTGGGGGGCACTTTGGGTACATATTAGGAGACACTTTTTTATCGCTTTTTCGACTCTTCCTGGGGTAGTTTTTTACGCTGAGTGCAAATAGAGCCGCAACAGCATGCGAAACGGTTGGGTTTATCCAGAAAAACAGTGTAAAAATTTATTAACAAAAGGTGCACTTATGTGCAATTTTAGGCTTGCCGCATTGTCAGGCAAGGTGGGCCGTCGCTTCGGATGGGCTGCCGCTCCACTCTTTCGAAATCAGGGCGCCTGGGCGCTACGCGCTCCTCGGGCGCCCCGATTTCGAAACCCTGTACGAGCTCGCACCCATCCGAAGCGACTAGGCCCCGGGTGGCACGAAGCCATAATTTTAGGCTCAAATTGGGTGTAAGCATTTCTAAATCTTAAAAACGTTTAGATAATTGTGTTTCACTACGCTGATTTTGTTATATCAGAAACCAGCACGAAAAACTAGCCTAGAAAGACTCAAAAAGTCGAAAACCAAAGTGGCCCCCCAACTTGATAAGTGCCAAAGTTTAAACGAGAGAAAACTTAATTCTTCCTTCTGAACCTAGTCCTCCAGGAATGCGAAAGAACCTGAAATTCTTACCATAAGGTCTGGATATTTTAGGGAAAGTACAGTGCCCGGCAAAATCGTGACAAGATCGTTGGTGAATCGAATCTATCAAAAAAAATTGATAATCTATGAGATTTTTACCATATATTTTCGCTCCTCCTTGAGCGCTTTCGGATTGTTCACCCCGACTATTCGCAGAGGCACGAGCTCCTTGTGGTTGACGCTGGTCCCCTCTTTTACTTTAGACTGAAATTCGACATTACTAAAGACGCAGCCTCTCCCACTTGGATCCGGTTTGTTTTGAAATCTTTGATCAGCTCGTCGCAGGCCACGTTCGCTTCCGGTTCCCACGTTGCTTCTTCCATCGGGTACCCTTGCCACCTAAAAACAACTTAGCATCGCGGACATTGAAAACACTTACTTTAACAAATACTCGACTTTTCCCCTAACTGTCCTCATGTCAATGACCTTCTCGACGACAAACTCCCCTTCACCCTCACTGCTAGACATTGTTGGTGCTGAATTATGTAATCAGTATAGGAAGATCCTGGGTTTTCATTTGGCCGAAAATTAGAATTCCAAAATTATCACACCACCACTATTTTTCAGTCGCTGAGCAGCTTGGTGTTGTGTAGCTAAATAAGAATTGTTTCATAGTGAAATCCGAATTTCTCATTTTCGACAAAATGATTTCAGCATTATCATAGAAAATCTTTGATAGCATATTAAAGAAACCAATCGCTGTCCGAACCAAGGCTTGCAGAAAATGTATAAACTCTAACAGTTGAATATTTATTCGTAACGAAAGGAATTACAATAAACAACGGAAACAGCACAGCTTTGACAAATACCCGCTACAACGTCAAACGGCGCCCTTCTTTTTGGGCTTTGCGATATTCGGCTTTGGTTTTGCGAAGCGGGCCCTGGTGCTCGCGGCCGGGGCCGGAATTTCGGTGGTCTCTGGCTTGGCAACGGCTTCCGCTTCTGGTGTCGGTTCTTCTTCTACGGCAGCTTGGGGCTCGGGTGACGGCGGATTTTCAGCCACTGGTTGGTTCGAGCAGCTCGGGGCTTCAGTTGGCTGGTCCTGTACCGTCTCTTGCTAAATTTGAAGTTTAAGTTTAAATTGGACGCTACACCTGTAAACCCACAACAGCGGGTTCGACTCGTTCTTTTTTCACTAGCTTCGCCTCCTCAATGCCGTTGGTTCTGGACAGTTGCGGGACTTTCAGCTAAACCAGCTTTTTTTGGACAAAAACTGCTCTTACTTTGCAAGCAGGAAGCGTGCTCTTCTTTGGCTTCCCGATGTTCGGCTTCGGCTTGACGAATCGTGGCCGCGCGCTCGAAGTAGACGAATCGTCAGGTTCTTTTTTGACGATGTCCACATGTGCGCTCTGGGTATCAACCTAAATGGATAGTTCTGAAGTTAGAGAAAAAGTATACCGACATGACCTCCGCTTTGACAACTTTTTCATCACCGAATAGCTGCGATTTAACCTACATTTTTTTTACAATACTAAAATCGTTTCTTACGTCGCCCATAGATATGATCAACTGCTTGGCACCACGCCGCTTTCTGGCCGCTTCGTTCTTGGATAGCTCGCCGGACATTGTAGCACCAGATCCCGTCGCGAATTCCTAAACACAGATTTTTATGCTAGATGAGTAAAGTGAGATTCGTTAAATAAAGTAAATATTCTGAATCATAGAATAGAACTCAAATAGTTTACCGTACCATGCTTGGAGACTCCATATCATCAACAAGTTTCATATCCGGCGCCACCAAGCGATTAACTTCATCAACTATTTCAGCCGGCGTCCTAAAAAAAGTTATCAACCCGTCAAATTTATCCCACATTCCGATCTCCTCTTTGGTAATAAAAGACTGTTGCAGCCCCGATGTGCCCTGCTCGATCTCTTTGAGGATGTCGTAGTTGACCTTGTTGGATAGCCGTTTCTCCTAAAAAGAAAATGGCGCAAAACAATCTTCATACCTGGATAACCTTCTCGATGGCTTCAAGCGGATTGTTGGCGTTGATGTCCTCCTTCTTTCGGTTCGGCTAAAGAAAGTAAATAAAAGAAAAAAAAATAAAGATGAAAAAATAGTGCTTAGTGTTCAAAAAATATACCTTTTTCTTTTTCTTCTTATTTGGATCGAGGTTGTCCAGTTCTTCCTGTGCTTTACGTTTCAATTGTCTGCAAACATGTAAAATTGGAAAAACTAATAAAATTACCGTTCCTCCATCTCCTGTAGATGCTCGCCGTTCACCTTCATCCATACTGTTGTTTTTATTTCCGTTTCTTTGTCGGTTAGGATGTAAGAATCAATCTCGCGGTCATCAATACCTAAAAACATTTAACTTAACCTATCAAAAACGATTAACATACCGCTCAAATCGAGTTCCCCATCTTCGCGCTCCAGAGGCAACTCTTCCTGCACTTCCGGTTGGTTAGAGTGAGTAGACGAATCTAGAATGAGAATTGGGCATTGGGGACAAAAATGACGCCTAACTCAGATAGTTCCCAATGCCCAATTGTTCAGCAGTCACTTGAAAAGCAGACCAGTGGTGTTGCGTGGAGGGGCTGAACACACGATTAAAAAGAACAGCGCGGGTCCCCCTACCCAGCATTTCCATAAGCCGTGTCAAACGCCGTGTCAATGATCGAGTTTCTGATAATCTGATCGCCAATGGCCCCCACTTCCGGGTCATCAAGGGATGGGCCTGATAAAGGTGTCAAAGTTTAATTTAATTTACTCACCGACGACGGATGCGAGTGGTGCCTTCTTGAACTTTTCCTTCAACTTCTTGTCCAGCTCGTGTTCGAGTTTGGCTTGGACGGGTAGCAGCTAAAAAAGATTGAATAGATAATATTGTATCGTACAGGCGAGCGCTCATTTTTCTTCGAAGGCATTTTTTTCACGACTTTTTCGTAAATTTTTCATGACATTTCTCCCTCGTTGCTGCGAAAAAATTCCTTTTCGTAGCTAGACACACATTTTTCTAAATTCCAACCAATCGAAATTTACGAATAATGATTTTTGGAGCTTTTTGTTTGGGGAAAAAAGCTTTCGAAAACGCGTATGAAAATCTCGCGTACATCCTTAGACATCATGTCGACGCACAGCTGCTCTCGCCTGATCTGCTCCTCCCTGGCCTTGCGGCGAGCCTCACGGAAAGCCGGCGGATCTTCAGAGTGCTCCTGAACACCAGTTTTAACAAAAAAATCCAAGTAGAACTACCAAATCGAGTGTAGCGAATTCGTCCACGGTCAAATTGGCGGACGGTGTTTGCGAAAACTCGTCGAGACGCTTTCTCACCACCTACAGCGAAATAACCTGAGAAAAAGGAGAATCTATACCTGTTCAGAAATATGAACAACTCGGACGATATCTTGGACGCTGCGGTTGAAATTGTTGGCCCTAAAACCACGATTTTAATCAAATCTATTTGAAAACCTGGCAGCAAGTAGCAAAGCTGCCCCGCATAGCCCGGTTGGACGTCGCCCTGTAGCCATCCAATCGCGTTTCATACGTTCTACCAGTCGGGTGGCCAAGGTGACGATGTCCTAGTCATTTGTAAACATTTACAATTGAAAAGAAACCTTCTGCTTCTCGCCAAAGTCCAGCATGACGGCAAAGCGCAAGATGTAAAGACACGGATCCGTTGCCGGCAAGTTTATGCGCAGCGTCCGCGTCACAAAATTCAATGTCCTACCGAGATCATAGACGTTAACCTAAAATCAGGATGCCAAAACAGCTGAGGGCTTTTTACCTGGGTGATATCGCTAAAATCGAGCAACAAATGACCCGTATTCTCGAGGCGGCAGGTCATATAAAGGCATGCCGAGACCACGTGAGATCGTATTCGGCCCCTAGTAACACCACGGCAAACGCACATCTTAAGAAAATAATTAGAAACGATAGAAAGCTTAACCTTGAAAAAGTTGAAGGCTGTATCAATGCAATGTGAAGCAATCCGAAGTTGACTAGCGATCTAAAAAGTCCAGATAATACCAAAAAAAAAGAATTGAACCTCTTCTATAAGCTTCTTTCCTTTGTAGAAAGTTTGTTCTCTTGAATCTTGGTTGCCGAGCGGATTTTGTCGGTCTATCCTAACATGTTGACCTGAAATTAGCCAAGCGTAAAAGAGGATAAAAAGCTTCCAACCGACAACGACATGCGATCCACTGGCGATCTCGGCGAATTGGGTTTCAACGACGACGATACTTTCCTCGAGGACCGCACCGCATCTAAAAATATACACTTTCGGTTTTCGAAAAAAACATACCCCATACAAATAGCATCTCCGCGTGCAGCATCTTCGTCGACCTCGGAGCAGCCGCAGTGCTTGCAGGCGCGGCCCATCCGTTATCGGCGTAGGTTTAGTTGCCCTATTACTAGTCTATGGAAAAAATGAAGATGAAACTTATTCCAGAGCTCTTTAGAGACAACGAAAAAGGATCTGGATCGTTAATCGAAAAACGCCCTCGCGGATCAGTGTTTCGCATCAAAAAAAATCAAAGACTTTTTTAGAACCTCAGAAACCATTCTGAACTACTGGTGATCAGATCAAACTGACGACAAACGCTTAAAAATTTTCTCTTTGATTTAAAAACGAGCAAAAGATAGCAGAAACTATACTATATCTTTATTTACTAGAGAGAAGAGGGAAGTGAAAAGAAGGAAAAGGAAGAAAATATTTCTGCTAGGAAAAGGAATTTATTTTGGTCCCCCGATAACGATCCAGCATCCGAAAAAAGTTTGTACAAAGTTCACAATCAATAATACCCGTTTTTGGCATTTGGAAACCATCAAAAAATGCCGCTGTGAGGAAAGGCCATGGGGAGCTGAGAGAGTCTGCGAAGGAAGAGACGCCAGAGAAAATGCGCCGAGAGTCCGAGGTTTACGTGTGCTAATACTTACAAAAACCGTAATTTGTTTTTTTCGTTCACAAAAAAAAATCACTCCAAAAATCTTTTAGAACCAAAACCAAAAAGCCCACTCGCCTAAGCATAAGCTAGAACGTGGCACAATCGTTCCTAACAGTTGTAGATAGTGTCGCAGATGTGTTCACTACATTTCTGTGCATACGTACACATCAATACCGGTAAATTTATTGAGCACGTTTGGAAAGTCGAATCGAATATTTCATTTATACATTCTTCTCCGGAGATGCCTGCATAGCTGCCGCAGCCGCGGCAACAAGATCGAGCCCAGCGTTTCCGTTCCTCAGCGGTGACACGTTGAATTGATGCTGAAAAATGATGATGATCAGCAGAAAAATGTTTACTGACCTGTTGCTGAAGCTGGCTTAAAATGGCATTAATATCCATCTCCATCGGCGGTGCTGCGGCTTGGCCACCAGGAATGACCGGCTGAAGAAGAAGGTTAAATAAAAAGTGGATTGTAGGCAATACCTTGAACGGCGAATTCTCAGTAGGTGTGCTGAAGATGTTCTTGGTGGGCGTTTGCTGGAGCTGGCTCTTCAGCGCTTGCAGATGGTCCATGACGTCATTTTCTTCTTGGATGCGCTTCACTTCGGACAAGTTTTTGACCCTCCTCAGGTACGAGACTCGGTTGTCGATTTGTCGTGAGAGCCTTGGGTTTGCCGGGAGGCCCAAGCGGCGCATCTAAAAAGATCAAAATTTGAAACCATAAAACAAGTAGCAACCTCTTGTTCAATCCTTTCTTGTCGTAGGCTTGTTGGCCAGTCCTCGTGGAAAGATTGGTCGACAATTTCGCGGATGGATCTGAAATACTCATAATAGGATTCTTAGAATACGACTCACTTGGCAAGTCCTTGTGTTGGGATAGCAGCTAAATCAGCCGAGTGGCTGTGTCCGCTACGTTCTTCTACGATATGCCTAAAAAGCATTTTAAAAAAAAGTTAGAAGGTTATAAATACCAGTCATTGATCCTCTTTACACGAAGGCGAAAACGGCACTTGAACTTGGAACGGTTGAGGCACTCATAGCTAAAAAGGAGCAATTTTAAAAGCAAGGTACCGGCAACGCACTGATCAAATCCATCGCCTTTCTTCTCCACACGCGGCGCGGCAAATAACGAGTAGATCAGGGCCTATGGTTGTGTTCATAAAAAGTAAAAGGAAGCACTCACATCAAGTTCAAGTTGGCTTTGCGTGGAGAAACATTGAAACCAGCCGTCCGACGGTTTTGAGCTGCAAAAGAAATATTAAACATGACCGAAGAAACTACTTACGCAGTCTCGGGCTTCTCGGAAGTTGTCGTCTGGTTTAGCTGGCTTGGCGTGCCCAACATCATTGGCAACGCGTTTTCATCGCCGACGGCCGGCGACTGGAATTGGAAAGATTAGCGTGAATCGGTTACCAGATTCTAGCAAAATCAGAAAATCTGACAACGACAACGTACCTGTGAAAATACATGGCCTGACGAGTGCGAGGATTGCCCTTCGGACGGGGAAGCAACGTTTTCCTAAATTTTCAACCTAACTTTACTCAAAAAGGAAAATACCATATTTTCGGGCGGTATCGTCAGGGGCGGCATGTTGGCCAAGAGGACCTGCATCATTTTCTGCATCTCCTCATTTTGCTAAACAAAAATGTTAGAAAAAATGGTTCCGGACTGTTAGCGGGGGGGGTTCGAAGTTTTTGCATTCAAAAAGTCATTTAGGAAAAGCTAGAACCGTCAAATTTTTCCCATTTGCGTAAATTTAAACAAAAAAAAGAATAAATTGCGAGACTTTTAATATTTTTATGAACTTTATAAACTTCACAATGGCGCACAAAGCTGTATAAATGTTTTAGCAATCAAAAAACAACACCAAATACGCTATAAAATGAACAAAAAAACGTTAAAATTAACAGAAACTGCTACTTAGGATCATATTCTATGGCTCCTCGTCCCCGCCAACAGTCCATTACCAAAAAAAAGGCTCCAAAAACAATTCCAAACCGTTACCTCAAAGTTAAATTGGCCGAGGTCGGTCATTTGAGCAGCATGGTCCATTCTTTTTAATCGAATGGCACGACGTCGGGGAAATGGTGTAAAATATAGGGTACGTGGTGTGGGATAAGGGTGTGGGTTCTAGGGGTAGGAGAGAGCTGTTTGCGTAATGCCCCGAGGGGTCAACTCGCCAGCTCCCGGGTCATCGTCTGCCCGCCCGCCCGATGCACACCAATATCGATCACGATGGTGCCCCAAGATCTTTTTTGCCTCTTGTCTCTTCAGCCTTTTCAGAGTCCCCCCGCATTCTTCACGTGTCAATGATGGTCTTTACAGCTTAAAAAAGACCCGGGCCCTTGGGGGAATGCGCGCGAACTTTTTGAAAAGGGCAGATGTGGTTGAGAAAGAATTAAGTTTACGATAAGAGTTTTGCAAAGTTTTGAAGAGAATTTGAAGAGAAGCCTCCGAGCTTCTGCTAAGATGTTTTCCAGATACCCGAATGTAAGAGGGTTTGGATAGGATAAAAAAAGATGATTTTAGCAGGTTTGAGAACCTTTACTAAAATCTGGTTGTTTTACAAGCTGCATACAGTAGGTTAAAAATACAAAAAGAAGATAAGGTCTTTCCAGAATCTAATAAAATCCAGCAAGCTTTTTAGCACTGGAGCAAAAAAAGAAAATCAGCCGCCGTTGAGAGCGTCTGCCAAAAACCCAGGGTACTGGATTGTTAGCGGGGGGGGCTGAGATAAGTTCTTTTTCTGCCCAAACCTACCTCTTCATAAGATACAATGTATGTAATGTAAATATGGTGTTTTAGTAGATCTGACTGCAAGCGAGTTATAAAAAATCTTTTAGCATTGGAAAATCGAAAATTTTGGTCAGTTTTCTGCATTTTAAAATACAATAAGTTTCAAAATTTTGATATTTTTTTTATACGTAGCTCTAACAAACGTTGAAACATTCTGTAAAATGGTTTATATTTAGCTATAGGTTTTCTAATAAAAAAACCATTCTGGTCTCTAGGATGGTTTGCGGCAGAAATCTGAGCGGAAGCGATATCGCTTTCGCCAAAACTCGGATTGATTTCTGTTTTAGCTGTTTTTTTTTTGAGGAAAAAGGGAATCCAATCTTCTACTGTTTTTTTTTTTTTGAGGTATAAGCGTTTTACATTGAGCTTTATCTATCTGTCACAACGTCATCACAATATGGCCAGGTGAGGGTGTCGGAGGCGTTGGATCGCCCTTTTCAGGAATCCCGGAATTATCAGACGTCGATTGCTGCAGCACGCCGTAAATCCGGGGCAACATCCCCTTCAGGACACGCTGCACCGTTTTATTTGTGGTCATGAATAGAATCTAAAGTGACTCAGTAATTTTTATCAAATTCAAAAGTTTTTATTAAAAATTAAACCAAAAAAATTCAATTTAATTTTGACTGTACCGGATTAATGGAATGGTTGCAGACGGAGCAAACGCTTCGGGTGATATTTAGAACCCATTGGACCCAGGTGTCCGTTTTGAGCATTGGTGCTGACACGGAAAAGGCACGGGTCAGCTAGAAAAGGTTCTGGTGCGGTAGCGAAGGGGGGGGGGGGGGATAGAGAGAAAACTAAAATTCCTTAAAAAATCCATACCTCGAGGAAGAAGCTAACAGTTATCGCTTGATATAGCAACGCGATGTCATTATCGTTGCTTTGGTACATTGAATGACGCCTAAAATGGCGCGTTTTAATAAGTTTTATGCAGGACAACCTCTGTTTCCTGATAAACCCATAAATAATGACGTATATAATTAAATTGGCCAATGGCAACGTATACAAAGATACGGAAATAATGTTGATTAATATATCGGAAGACTGGGTCAGCAGGACATCGTCAAAGTTTAGGGTTTTCTGCATTAAATTGGTTAGCGAATCGCGGTTCTTAGGAATTATCGGGAAAAAAGGAAAAGGAAAAATTTTTCCCTATAACTCCAGCAAGTGCCTAGTAATCAGAAAGAAAGTATTTTACTTAATTTATTTAAATCTGTAAATTTTGATCAAAGATCCGCCATTGTTGGTGGAAAAATCTGGTTTTTTTTTAATTTATTTTAACACAAAATTCTAAAGTTTTACCTTTAAAAAATCGACAGAAACCAAAAATTGCCCCTCGCTATTGCCCCCGTTAATGCGAAAAAACCGCTTTCTGTAATACCTTATTATACTTCTTCCGCGTGCCGAAAATCTGGCGATATGTCGTTAACGGAATAACAATGAGTATGGTAAGCCATATGACTTTTCGGATGTGATACCTGAAGGTCTCTTCTGGCTCACGTTTTCTTCAAACAGAACTAACGTCGAAAAAACGGCTTGAAGATCTTTCCACACGAATACGGCAAAACGGTTGATGGCCATGAGTAGTGTAAGATACATAATGGCCTGGTCGGTAAAATCGTTGAGACAAACACCTAAAAAGTTCCATTAGGGCTTGGTTGCGAAATCGACCCTTCCCAACGACTGGGTCTAGACATCGGTATTGGACTGTTAGCGGGGTGGGGGAATATCTAGCCTAGACCCCTAGCGTTTTTTCGTGTTTTATAGCGCACGTTAAAAGATTTATAATCGTTTTTGATTGTAAAGGTTTTGAAAGTGGTAAAACATATTTTCCAAACTTTAAAAATATGCCTCAGCAACGCGACGCGCCAATGTACGTTGGTGTCAGTTGGCATGTCGCGTAGCCGAAGACACCTAGTCGATCGCAGCGCGTTCAATCCCTTGTCATCTACCTAACCAACTCACCAACTTGTTGCCAAACGGCCAGCGGGCCAGTGTCCGGAATTTCGACGAGCATACACGGGAATATACAGGTGGCTTGTGTTATTAAATTTAATAGATTTATCAGCGTCAAGTACCACACTATTGAGAAGAAAGGGAACTGGAAAGTGGATTGAGTGAAATAAAGATGATAGCAAAGGGTAAAAAATCGCATTATCGGGGGAGGTAACTTTTTAACTAGAATCCAATTTTAGTAATACAAATAGAGGAAGTATTTCTAAACAGTTTTTACTATCCCTAAACCTACAAACTTTTCTACTTTTTATTGACAAGTAAAAAAACCCCGGATTTTTTTCGAAAATGGCGGGTTTTCCACCAAAATGTATGCATTTCAAGGTTTTTAGATAGTTTATTTCGGTACCTTAAACGATCAAAAATCCAACCTCATTAAATGTCGAGCGTCCTTTGATCTGAACAGCGAGAAATACGGTGACTGCCGTTAGTCCAATGGCCGTTATCGAGCCGTATACGGTAACTGATACGATAATTGCAACATATTCGGCATCGGCGACGTCCAAGTTGCCCACTGATGTGTCGAGATTCATTTATATGGGTTGTTAAGGCTATAATCGAGGACTTAATACATAAAATGACCGATTGCAAAACGCTCGAGGGCAAAGAGCAATAGCTATAAATTTTTAAAACGTTATTAGTCGTGCTGCAGCTCTATTTTTGATGGAATAAAGTATGAAATCGGCTGCAAAAGAGCGTATACTAGAAGCTACACAAAATTGTCTATGAATTTTTGTAAACGTATATCGGTGCTGGACTTTTAGCGGGGGGGGGGGGTTGGCGAGCGGAAAACTGAATTCATCTTTTTCTGCCTTTTATTCGTATTTTTATAGTTTTGTGGTAGTTTTTGATTTTAGAATGCTCTAGAAAAATTTTCACAATTATGAAATCTTGAAATCGAAAAAAAGATTGATAGAAAAAAATTCGGCTTTTTTTAATCAAAAAGCTAAATTTTCGCTTTTTAAAAATTCCCATGTGGTTTTTGTCTCAAATATGGCCGTACGGAGTTACTGAGACCACCCCTGCTAACAGTCCAGTACCGTAGTCCAGTATCGTATACTGAATAGAATAAATTGTGAAAAATGACGTAAAATAGCTTGTTTGTCATGGGAGCACCCAATATCGGAAAACGCGTGATTCTGGATCAAAACCTCATCAAACAAGTTGTTTATGAAATCCAGAGATTTGCTTCATTCCAGAAGTCCCCCGAGGGGTCCCCCCACGCCCAATCACACACACCCGCTTCAGACAGACCACTAAATGGGGGGCCTTGAATCAGCCATTATAGCGGAAATTAACGGCCGACTCGCGCCGCGCGGTTCCTTTTTCCCCCGCGCCGGGTGATAGGGCGGCGTTAACAAGGTTTCCCGTTCTGGCTTTTTGCGCCTTCGTAAACACGTAGCGTTGCGTTGGGGTTTATAAAGATCAAGTGTTCGGCGTGCAGGTGCTTCTGGAAAGGCTGGGTTACGAAGCTGCTCGTGCTGGCGAAGTTGTACATGGTTCAGGCGGACATACCGAAAACCGAAATGCCGAAAGATCCGAATTTTTTACGGCGGTATAAACGTCTAAAGATACCGAACGACTAAACCAACCCAGATGCCGTCAGCTACCCGTCGTGCCAAATGACGCGTACAAATGTACGGTGGCGCGTTGCGTAGTGGGCTCACTTCGGCCTATACCCTCGTGGAATCCGAATGTTATAACTTTTTACGCATTTTTTAAGTCTAAAAGTCAGTAAGCACCTAACTAAAGTTTTCAACTATTTTTGATTGGTGGAAAATTTCAAATTTTGGATTCGAAATGGTTTTTATGGCTTTTTAGCGACCAAAAACCTCTAAAACACGAAAAATTCTCTATAAAATGCTAAAAATTTTTACACAGCTGCTAGAAAGCCGGTAAGTCGAGTAAAGAAAAGGCTAGCGCAAAATTCCAAGATGCCGAAACTGACTGAAGTTTATCAGTTTTTTTTTTGGGTGCGTCTGTCCGTGATTTCTGCAAGAATTCGTACAAGCCCGCCGTGAAGCCGTGGGCGGAAGCAGCTCCCCAGGGGATTACGAAAGCGAGTCGTACTGTCTGTAAACGTTTGGTCTCTAAAAACACGATCCTGGCTGAACCCGGTTAATTGTACCACAAATTGACCACTCATCTTTTTTTGTGGCGCCCATTCAGCCAGGGGAATAAACGACACAATTTTTTTTTTGCAAAATTCCCTGCCATTCTCAGACCAGCATTTATCAAAGTGAGATCAAAACACGAGTTTTGAGGGTTGTTACAAAGGTGGTGCTTTTGCATTGTCGGGGGTGGGGTATCAGGGCGTTACCGGCTTTTTATATAACCCCAGATATGTTAAATCCCAATTTAGAAACACTGCCTCTATTAATTGTTGAAGAATAGGATGCTAAAGCCAAGCCCCCCCCGGATAATGCCAAAGAACCAAAAATCCTTCTTTTCGCTCAGGTCGGTCGATTCCATATCGCGTCCAGATGCGCAAAGTGAATCTCGGCTTCTCGTCTGGGGGGCACGACGAGACGTCGTCCATCCATTGATAACGGAATGGATTCTGGGTCCCGGTTTACCTAAAAACATGTATAGAAAAAAGTAAATTAAAACACATCGTAAACGCGACGTCTTTCCCCTAGATCTAACCCTTGTGGGAACAAATAAAATCTCATTTCGCCGGCGTCAATTGGAGCGCGTGGTACTACTACAGCAGATGACTGCCGCGGAATTTCCTGGTACTAATACTTGCTGATATTTGGGCTTTGATTCCATAGAAATAGCTTCTTGGAATAATTTATAACACCAGCTAAAAATACTTTGAATTTTACGTATTAATCAAGCGCAAATTTTTTATTACCACGTTTAAAAGCCGATGGCGAGAGTTGAGCAACCTTTTCTACCCTCATTTTTGACGGCCGCTGGTAGAGCATAGTCGAATTTAGTTTTTTTACAGTTTTCGGTAGTTTTTAAAATTTGAAAAGGTCATTTTTGGAGGGTTTAAGCGGGCGTGCAACTTGCCGATATCAAAAAATTATCTGGAAAATGCGGAACTGAACAAAATTTACCGGATCTTTTGCACCAAATATCGTCGACTTCATCGCCGTCAACAACGAGCTATGGCCGTACATGGCCAAATACGGGAACATGGCCGCGTAAAAGGCCGTGATCAGGTCAAAGCTTTGGAAAACGGCTCCTAAAAACTGATAATTAGCACTTGCATGATTTCCACTTACGATATCGCAACCGGAAAGCGCGGGGCGAGGTTTTGTCGTAGTTGTAGAGACCGAAAAGTAGGATGCCACCGGCCAGCAGGGAGGCCAATAAATAGGCCACCACAAGTGGAAAGAGCAGTCGAGTGGCGCGAATATTTTCCGCGGTCTAAATCATGTATTTTTGAAATAGATTACCCTAAAGGAGATGGTCTCAGCTAATTTAGATTGCCATCTATGAACGCAAAAACTCGGAAAAATTTGCTAAAAACGCAAAGCTGATAAAATTTCTTTAAGGGCTTGCCAGTATCCAATCCCAATTCCAATTTGTTTTAATAATTTCATAACTAGGAATATATATTAAAAAACACTATAAAGTATTAACTGCGCCCTGATACGCCCGAAACACCGCGATTTGTCTGACCTGATAGCGTTCCGATAACTTTGGATGAGTCGCCTGCCGGGCTCGACTGCGATAATTTTGTTGGTTGATCTTCAGCAGGGCGAGGAAGACCAGCATGGCAATAGCGTCCATGGCAATGATGGTGAGCAGCGAGATGAGCAGGGCTCGGTGGGAGGTGTATTCCATCTGAACTTTCAGGAATTAAATCATTTTCCGGACGTACCTGGCAGGCCAGCTTTTCCGTCCGTTGATCGGCAGCGTCGATTTGGTTGGCCAGGACGAATAGCAGCCCAAAAACCCACTGGAATTCTAGGGTGGAAAACGAAAGAAAAAGGAGTTTACGAACGTTATGCTGGAAATAATCATGCCGAAATACTTTCCTATACATCCAGAAAGCCTAGTAATGTAATAATAAGAAACTAATGGTATTTTTAGTACAATTTAACTAGGTTTCAGGTGAAAAATAATTTTAAAAACCTAGAAAATCTTTTGCCAACATTTTTGTCGGAAAATCGATATTTTGTAGTGTTTATCAATTTGTAAAGCTGTATGTGAACCGCGTTTTTTTAAACCCCTCAAACGCGCTACTTGTGACTTGCACACCGATAGTTCAAGCAGAAGAGCACTGCCCATTGAAGTCATGCGTTAGTGATAGAACAGGGCATGCATACCTGCCCCACCTGTAGCACCAACAGGGCCATCCCAACCGATCTCCGCTCCGTCGTCTCGTAAATTCGTACGAATAATGTTGCGACGGTTCGTTCTGAATCTTTTTTTTGCCGAAGTATTTCCGAAACCCACCTATCACCAAAACAGCCAACCCTAGACCGGTCACGTAAATAGCCGTATCGTGGAGTGTTTTTGCGAATCGGCAGTAAGGTATCCCTAATATTGAAATACGAGCGATCTTTACAAATTCTCACCGCCAACATCAATATCAAATGCGTAAGCCATCCACAAGGGAGCAATGATCAAATATCGGGAAACGATGACCAGGATGAAAGTGAATGAGAAATTTGCCAAAAGTAGCCGAAGATTCTTAAAAATCAAAACTAGTTTAGTCTGCGATCTATTGACTACCAAATGAAAGCATTTTGTTCTCCGCAACACTTGCAGAAAAAGTAGACAGCTGACGTTGGCGACGAGCAGTATGAGAAGCTCTAGATTATAGAGCGCCATCGAGATGCCGCCTATTCGTTCAGATAGAGGGGCCATCTAAACCTTCGCGGATCTTTGAAAAGCCAGCATGCAGCAGCAGCAACCAACGTCGAGCACAACCGCAAAACATTCGCGAAAACCAATCTGATTAGCTTAGGGAGGAGAGGTTTAATCAAATCCCGTTGCCAAACAAAGACACGCTTTCAATCAGCGAATGGCAAACAATTGCCGCCCAAAAAAATGAAACATTGCGCGCAGAGCGGGGCCCTCGGGAATCGATGTCGTGCACGAATTCCGAAGCGGATCCAGCAGGGGTGATTTGGGCCTTTCGTGGGACGTATGATCCGTTGCGCAAACACTCGAATGTTTGAAAACAGATCCGCACCCCCCAGTCAGCGCCACTCCACGCATTTTTGGCGAAACGCACTATAATCATCGAATACACCCCGTCAGCTAGACGCTAAAAGCCACGCGAAAGGACGGCCAGCCACTTAAATTGAGAGCCCTTGTGGAATGAATAATAATTGGCGTGCTTTTTTTGCCGCCGGCGGGGAAGCTATTATCATCTTTATTATGTGCACATATAAGCAGTCGCGTTTTTGAGAGCTATACAATTGAAAAAGGTCGGATGATGAGGCACATTTGGATTTTTGAAACAGATAACACTAGCAAAACAATTAAAATACAAAGAGCAGTCTAGTTAATGAGAAATACCCTATGTTCGCTGATTTAGTGGTGGCCGGCCCAACTCGTGTGTCCCTTT